GAGGGAGTATCATATAGACAATTCTTTCTAGAAGCAAGACAGTTGCTTGTAAAGACAAAAGACAATAGGAGCTGGAAGGAAATAGGGAGCTGGAAAAGTTTTAAAAATTGAAGAGACTTCAGCATGTTTAAAAAGACAACGGAAAAGATCTCGTGGAGATGGGGGTCTTGAATATAAAAACAAGATGATGTAGAGTTCCTGAGAAGGTGGGAGGTGTTGAGATCTGTGAAATAAAAACATATTTGAGCCTAAAACTTTGGTTTAGCCTTGGTTAAAATTAAACATTTGAAGATTATCTTAATAACATTTCCTTAAAATAATTTTTATTAACTTTAATTATCATTGATACACAGTGACTCACAAAATACAGGTATTTAATAAGAAACACTGGGAAGGAAGAATCTTGTTGACATAAGTACCTTAAAAATTCAAAGTACTTTGCTGGCTATTACTCTTCTCAGTAAGATGAGGAAGAGAGGTTAGAGAATATTTACATTCTAGTGACCTTTCAGTTGCACAAGGAACAAAGAACACTGTTAGGAGCCAATGGGGCAAAGGTCTTTCTGAAATATAAACCTCTGCAGGCTCTGTTTCTTAGTATCATAAATTATAGTTTCTCTTTTTGATAGTGCAAGAAACTTCCCAAAACACTCTATTTTAACTTCAAAGTTTCTGCTTAGTATTTCCAGACGTAAACTTTAGTGTAAAGCATGTGATGACCACAAAGTCTGTAACACATTTGTTATAGGAAATTTTCTTTAATGTGCAAGATAGGAAGTCAAGGGAATTTACGGTGTTGGAAGTCATGTTAATGAAATTATAGCCTATGGATTCTAAGTTGGATACTGAGGGGAGTATTAAAAGAAGAAATGGACTGAGATCCTGACGAGTTTGAAAAATAGTTCTGCTGGGCATATCTGAATGAGCAAGTTAGAAGAATAGGAGCTTGTGTTCAAAGAGTAGGAGGCTTGCTTTTCAAGATGATGACAAGGGCCAAGGTGTGACCACAGAAATAGGTATCTGGAGTGGAGTGGAGTATTTGAGATGGGGGATTCAGGAAATTAAAATGCTGGGATGTTGGCCTTTTCATTTTAATTTCATCCAAGTAGACAGTGAATGGCTTAGAACAGAGAAGGAGACTGTGCACTAGGTGACAGTCTTCACTGAATGAGGAACAGTGACTTGGAGATCAGAAGATGACAGCCACAGGGAAAGAAGACGGAGCATAACACAACAGTGTATACCTCAAAGGAGCAAAGGTGTTTTACAAGCATCTAGGTAGGTAATGGTTGGGAAACGAGCAATGAGTACATCAATAGAATCTAATAGATAGGGAAAGAGAAAATAACCCTATTTTAGAGTGTTTGGAATCCTCTCTTTCTTTGCCTATCCAAAGCCTACCATTATTCAAATCTCATTTTTAAAGCCTCTCTTTTTAGATTGAGATCATCCTGGCCAACATGGTGAAACCCTGTCTCGACTAAAAATACAAAAAAAATTATCTGGGCATGGTGGCACGCACCTGTAGTCCCAGCTACTTGGGAGGCTGAGGCAGGAGAATCGCCTGAACCTGGGAGGCGGAGGTTGCAGCGAGCCAAGATTGCGCCACTGCACTCCAGCCTGGGTGACAGAATGAGACTCTGTCTTAAAAAAAAAAAAAAAAAAAAAAAAAAAAAAAAAAAAAAGGCTCTCTTTCTAAAACAAAGGTTTACAAAGAGTTTTTATTTTTTTTTTAATTAAGAATCATTTATAGCAAAAGGTATCTTTAATACAAATTCTAATGTAAACCATTGTTCTAAGAAAGGAGACCAACTCATTTGCCTGGCTTTTAAAACCTGTAATGTTTCTAATAAAATATGTCTATTTGAACTTTTTCAAAAATTTTCAATCCTTGTTTTGCTATCTAATTGTCCCATCTGTGCCTTTTAAATTATATTATTCTCACCATGTAAGCCTTTTCTTCATCTTTTCGAATCTTATCAGTCTTTTGAAGTTTAGAACCCAATCTCTTTTACAAAGTCTAGCTAATTTCAAAATTATTCTGTATATCTTTCTACTTTATTTCTCAGAGTCCATTTCCTGCAAATTTGACAGTTATCTATACCATCCTGTAATATCTTGACCTGATTTTAAGCAGTTTCAGGGAAGAAACCATGCTTGATTCCTTGTTTTTCCCAGAGCACATAGTAAATGAACAAAACGCTCTTAGTAAGAAGCAACATGACACAATGGTGAATGCATGAACTTTGGAGGAAATTATTCTTGGTTAACAATTTTCTTCCTGATTCCTTTGTCCAAGCTCTTAAATCCTGACTGGAAAGTCCTCTCCCTATATCTCATCAAAATCATACCTCACTTTAACAGTCCAGGCCTGCCTCTCCCATGAGAAGTGTACTGCTAACACTAGCCTGTACTTTCTCTCATCTCTGAATATCTGTCTTCTTATTCATTTATTTACACTTTAGTTACCTACATTTTCATGGGCTCATTTCTTTTCTTCCTTTTGCTACCATAAGTTCCTCTAATGAAAGAACACTGTCTTTTAAATATAGTCAGCATATTTTCCCAATCAAAACACAGGACAACTGCCTACAAACTACTTGAAACTGTAGTTGCTCCAGAAAAATCATGGGTTACTCACTGATTTGCTTTCCAATAATTCTCTCAATAGGTCTGCAATCCCTTATTCACCATTTTGAAATCTGAAAAGCTCTGAAAATTGACCGGGTGCGGTGGCTCACGCCTGTAAATCATGGGTTACTCACTGATTTACTTTCCAATAATTCTCTCAATGGGTCTGCAATCCCTTATTCACCATTTTGAAATCTGAAAAGCTCTGAAAATTGGTCGGGTGTGGTGGCTCACGCCTGTAATCCCAGAAGGAGAATCGCTTGAACCTGGGAGGCAGAGGTTGCAGTGAGACGAGATCTTGCCACTGGCCTCCAGCCTGGGTGACAGGGCAGAGGGCAGAGACCCCGTCTCAAAAAAAAACAAAATCAGAAAAAAAAAAAAAAAGCTCTGAAAATCAAATGTTTTCTTAACATTTGGTGGCAAAACCTGTTTGACCTGACTCATTTGTCATTAAAACTTGACCTGAACCCAAGGGCAAAGTGACAGAACCTGACCTGAAAAACTTGATCTGAAGTGAGACTATACACCTCATTTATCTTAGTGTGATATTCATAATTGTTCTGGAAAAAAAAAGTTGACTGTGGGTGCTGCCCCAGATAGTGAGGAATGTCACATAAAACACACCTCTCTAAAGTCTGAAAAATTCTGAATTCTGAAATCCCTCTGGCAGAAAGATTTCACTTAAAGGAAGTGAATCCATATCTCTTCTAGCCGTAGTCCACTGCCATACACATAATAGGCTAACTTTAAGAAATTCAATTAAAGCCAGGTGCAGTCACTTGTGCTTGTAATCCCAGCACTTTGGGAGGCTGAGGCAGGTGGATCGCCTGAGGTCAGGAGTTCGAGACCAGCCTGGCCAACATGGAGAAACCCTGTCTCTACTAAAGATACAAAAATTAGCCCAGAGTGGTGGTGTGCGCCTGTAATCCTAGCCACTGGGGAGGCTGAGGCAGGAGAATCGCTTGAACCCGGGAGCCGAGGTTGCAGTGAGCTGAGATTGCCCCACGGCACTCCAGCCTAAGCAACAAGAGTGAAACTCCGTTCCCCCCGCCCCCCCCCAGAAAGACTTTCAATTGTGGTTTTTATTAGGTATACTGTTTTTCTGATTTCATTAACTGAAAATTAGTGGTCATTAAAAATTTATTACATGTGAATAGGAATATGATTTAAACATACAAGGAGTGACATCTCTGACAAATTGTGCTTATGAAGTTCACTGCTATGTTTACATTTCTTAAGGGACCACAGTTATTTCTACTACCAGAAGGCTGCTACCAGTAACGCGAGTGATAACTTAAGTTGATTATTCACACCGTTTTCTTCATCCATAAAATAAGGAGACTAGGACTAAATGACCTGTTAAGGTTCTTCTGAAATTCTATGATCAAGTATAGTACCCAGCACAAGACCAAGTTAAAAAATGTCAATACATAGGAAAGAAATCAGTCTGTAAACACTGAGAACCTGTATTATCAAAGCTAATGTCTTCTGAAATAACTGGAAGATGAAAGTATATGAAAGATAATTTTGAATGTTCTGTATTTAGAATGTGCTTCAACATTTAATGCGATCAATTTACATATCCTTTCAGGTGCTATTGCAAGTTTTATCAGGGTTTTATGGCAACAGACGAATATGATGAATTCGAATGGGACACACTGGCTTCTGTGAAGTTACGATTCAAACTGAATGTCTAATATAGGAAGGCAATACATACAAAAGGCAAAAGTGATTTTAGAAATAACAGAACGCGGGACAAAGTCCACACACGGAAAATGATATGGATAACAAAAGCCGGTAACTCACAGAAATGCGGGTAGAGAAGAGGCCTCTCTGCTGGAGCGAGAGCAAATAGAATCAGACGGCATTGAACTGAAAGGCTCCTAGGAGCTTTCAGTGAACAAAACTTGGTAGTCAAAAAAGCACAGGACTGGGCCGGGAGTTGAGAGAGAGTCTTGGAGTTCAGGGGTTTGCAGCCCTAGCCGTGTGGTAACTCCCTTGCTTCTCTGGCTATTTCCTTATCTATAAAATCGATGGGTTAGTTTAGGCCGATTGAGACGCAGGCAGGGACGCGGTACTGTTCATGGACCTCTGAGCTGCCCTTTCTTTCCACATCGCGGGTGAGTTACTTAAATCTCTGGTGTGTTTCCCCATTTCGTATGTCAAAATAATAATATAAAATCAGAATGTATATCCAGACGCATTGTTTTTCTGCGATTAACTTGCTGAGCGAAAATGGCAAGAACGAAGGAAGGCGAGAGCCAGCCTGCCTGCGAGATGAGGCACGCCCGGGCCCAGCTTCGCGTCCCGGAGCGGAGTGGGCTGAGGGCGTGTCGTCGCGGAGCGGCCTGGCGAACCCTCCAGGAGGCGGAAGAGACCGCCCCGTGGGCGGAAGTGACGCAAGGCCTACTGTTGGCAGTGAGGGTAGGTGTAGCCGGTCTTTGGGGGTAGGCGGTAGTGGCGGAAGAGGTTCGGCGGCTGATGGCGGATCAGGATCAGAAGCCTGTGTAACTTTCTCCCTTGGTCCGGGAGTCTTTCCACTGGGTAAGGCGCCTCCCCGGTCCACCCCAGCGCCTTGTGCGGGGCGGACCCCAGCTGCATCTCTTTTAGGGCTCGTGCTACACCCCTCTGCCCCTGTACTGTAGGGGCCTGGCCGGTCTCGGGAGAGGTCTCAGTGGTGACGAGGCTTTCCTTCCCGAGGACAAACCTTCCCTTCCGGACTGCGATTGTGACGGGGGTGTGGGCGACTCGGATCGGCCGTAGAGTTTTGGAATAGCAACGGGTGGCCGCCACACGCGGAGGGAGGCCCTCGGGACAGGCCTTCGCGATTTGGGGGAGGCGTGTGGGACGGGTGCCCTTTGGCTGGGGACGAGTGACGCTGGCGACCCCCGAAGGAAAAGCTTCTGGTGTTCAAGGCTCAACTCTGGGATGACTGTTTTGAGGTCCCTGTGGGTGTTACCGGCGCAGTAAGCTGAGAAAACACGTAGGTCGCGTCCGAGAAGGACGCTGGGGTTTGCCTCTGCGGAGAGAAACCCAGCTGTTTTGGTTTGAGTCGCCGGTGGCAAAGGGGGCGGAGACTCCCTGCGCCGCCTACTTTTGAGGGCCGCGAGCGGAGTTGGCTGTTCCGGCTGATCTCCTGCTTCACCTGGATTCCTTTCCCCACCCCGCCCCAACACCCCGCAGGTTCGCGAGGTGTGAACTAGTCCCGACCTACCTGCATTCCTGGCTTAGGGAATCTGTGGCTAGAGTTTAGCGTGCGCGTGTACACCTTATTAGTAAAAAATAGAGCTTAGCATGCGTTTGTGTGGGTGTGTGTACACACCTTATTGGTAAAAGTTTTGTTGGACAACACTGGCATATGACTTTAGACGTACAGTGTTAGATTTCCGATTTCACACAGTGGTTATGAATTGCTATTATGTCAGGCATTAGATGGGAAAATCTTAATTGTTCAACTGTCTGCATTCTGCTGATGCTAAAATTTCTACGTGCTGGGCACGAACAATTACTAGTTACAAGTTTGGTGCTTAATTCCAAAAGGATTTAAAGAGATCATTTGAATAGAAACTAAAAGTGGGTTGATGTCCTCAGTGCTTTTCGGGTTTAGAGAAGGAGCTGAGGACAGCCTTTCTCCTTCGTTCTGTTCTTTTCAAGGGTAAACTTGAAGTATTGTTTGATGATGCCGACTTCTAATAAAGTTTTATTTATTTTTCAAGCTGTTCAACTTCAAAGAACATCTTATTGTATTTTTTGTTTTATAGCCATCACGTTCTTTTTTTTTTTTTTTTTTTTCTTGAGACGGAGTCTTGCTCTGTCTCCCAGGGTGGAGTGCAGTGGCACGATCTCGGCTCACGTCAACCTCCGCCTCCCAGGTTCTAGCGATTCTCCTGCCTCAGCCTCCTGAGTAGCTGGGATTACAGGCGCGCGCCACCACGCCCGGCTAATTTTTGTATTTTTAGTAGAGACGGGGTTTCTCCATGTTGGTTAGGCTAGGGTCGAACTCCTGACCTCCTGATCTGTCCGCCTCGGCCTCCCAAAGTGCTGGGATTACAGGCGTGAGCCACTGCGACTGGCCCATCACGTTCTTAAATTGTAGACCGCTGTTTGTAGTTCTCACTGCAGCCGTATTTGTAGAATTAACCAGTAAGTATCTTTTCCATAACAAAAGTAAAATTTTGGAATTCGAAGTTTCAACCTTTTTAATGATGTTGAAATAATTATGAAAGATCCTAACGATGCTCCTTGTATACTTCTTTTGGGGACTTGATTGTATTCTTTTGGAATGGATATGTAAAATCTGGGCTTTATGCATTTCTGTCTTTTTAAAGCTTATTTTGTCCCAAATAAACCTTCAGAAGAAGACAAAAATGTCCTCTCCCCTAATATATGTGGGCCAAGATCATAGCATTTTAGAAACCAACTTATAAAATCTAAAAAGTAAGTAAAAGTGGTGCGGGTGACACCTGAGCGGAATGTCTTGGCACTCAGGCGTAAAGGATTCTGGAACTAGGGATGCCTGCGAGGGTGCAAGTTAATATAGACTGGGGCCTTTGCTTTTGCCTCCTAGAAAAATTGCTGATTACATTTTTTTGGAAGCAGAGGTCTGTTTATAGTTGTTAAGTTTCTCTTTCTTTGAGCCACAGTGTGAATAATTGGAAACTGTTTGAATGCTGGACATTTTTTGCTTTCATATGTTTGCGTGTCCTATCGGACTGAAGTTTGGAGATAACTCTAAAGGTTTTTTAGCTGAGGATGTGAAAAACTTTCGGTAACTCTGTCAACCATTACCTGAATTATAACACTTCTAAAGATACAAAGTGTTCATATTCTAAAATGCAGTGTTTCTGCTGCAGTAGGTCATATGTAGAGTGTTACTAATCTGTTTCATTTCTTTATTTGCTTTGGTTTTCCTATTACGGAAATTTTCAAACATACACAAAGGAGAATGAACAGTAAAATGAACTGACACTTTACTACTCTTGTTTTATTACCCCCTCTAACATTTATTTTTTTCCCCTGGAGTTTTTAAAGCAAATCTTAGACATCAAGACGTTTCACTTACAGTTAGTTTAGCATCTTTAACTGATAAGGACTTTAGAAAAACACAGAATTGCCATAATTATAGTATCACACATAACAAAATTATTTTTGAATTCTAATTGTTAGGACTGGCAAATTACATTTAATATTTATCTAAATTAAAAAAGCTTAATTTGGCTTCATATGTTTAATGTACAGAAGTTCTTAGTATGGTTTATTTTTTAGTAAGTTCACTCAGGCTTATATTTTTGGGCTAAAGTAAAACAAGTATTGGGAACCACTGGAAAAATACTACCACAAAAGTCAAATCTGTTTTGGAGCTGAAAAAGTTCCAAGAGGAGTAAGTAAAGATAACGTTGAAATGCTTCCCTACCCCCACCCCATGTTTATTTTAGCTGTATACATAACTGAGTGCCCACTGTGTATTATTTATCTTTTTTATAGACATTAATACATTTGCAAAATAATAAAATTGGAATTTAGACCAAAGACTCTATAATATACAGTTTACAGCATAACACACATAAAGAAATTCTAGAGGCATTGGAGCTTGAGGGAATGTAGGAGGAAACCTGAAAGAGGGCACTGTAGTCAGCATGTGTAAGCATTTCTGACTTTGTTTCCTAGCCAAATGTGTCTGGTCCCTTGATTGTTGACTGGACGTTTTGTATTTATCTTTGGCTTGCCAACTTACTATACTCCTGTTTGTGGAGATGCACTTTAGAGAAGGGGAATCAGAATTTGACATGGTAATGCTGCTTGCTTCTACTTTGCTTTTTTGTGTAGGGAGTGTACTTCTGTCCAACTGATAAGAGGTTTGTACTTTTTCTCAGGATGTTAGTGAAGCTACACTTCCCAGGCATTACCACAAGGTGATGCAGTGACTTTGCATATTATTTCTCCACTCCCATGCGACCTTGACATTCTCATTGAATTCCAACATTTTTATAAGCTTGCCTGTCTCTTCAGTCTGTTATCTGTAGGAGAAGTGAACCAGAGGAACTATGTGGGAATTAGAAATTTTATTATTTAAAATGGGTTGATTAATGACATTATATTTAGATTGCTTTCATCCATGTAAACTTTGTAAATGATTCTTAGCTATATTTTAATAAGAAGAGTAAAAAATGACAAGGTACTGGAATGACTTTTGTAAAATATTTCTATAATTATAGCAATTAAATTTTAAAAAGATTGGAGTGTTGGAGAGAGATTGATGAAGGCGATTAATAGGATAATCACAAATTATTTTACTTTTCAGACTTGTAAGCATTGTGAATACTATATTTTAAAGTGAAATACTAGTGTTTTCTATGAGAAAATGTGAAATTTTGGGGAGGGTGTAAAAATGGAATTTCTGGTTAATAGGGCTATTTAAAACAATAGAAATAATACATTTATATATACTTGTAAAAATTCAAACAATAAATTGATGTAAAATTTAAAGTCCTTAAGTCTTGTTTTTACACACATCCCTTATAAGACTATTAACTCTATAGTGTATACTTCTTGAGTTCCTTTTGATGCATTTGTAAACATATACAAATACATATATCTATACCTATGTGCTATTTTATACCTCAAAAACTTCAGTGAACTAAAAGTATAAGGTTGGATTGTGGATTTTTAAAAACTTTTAACTGAGGTTAACAGAAGTTTAAACACTTTTGCCTTGTCTTATAAAAAAATTGTTACAGCTTTGTTGTTTATTTTAGGAAATGACATGTTAAATTTTAAGAAAAAAGTATTATCCTTAATCAGCTTTTGATTAAAAACATGGGACGTTTATTCTAAGCTAGTTTGTTTCCTTCTCACTGAATATCTTTCTCAAAGGAAGCGTGACTTCACTCGCTTCATAGAAAAATATTATTCTCTTGATTCAGTTTTGGTAGTTGTATCTAATAGATGTTGGTTCAGTTGATTTAGCTATAGTTTCTTTTGTTGGTATCTTATAACCAGTAGTGACTTTTTTTTTTTTTTTTTTTTTAAAGAACTGGAATTGGTGTTTTTTTTCTCTTTGTGAAGTCACTGACTTGAAAAGAGATTATCATTAATGACTTCATTAATATGACCTCCCTGGGAGCCCAGATTAGCTCAGACAACTCAAAGAAACAAAATAATAGAACTCTTCAGTTATTTTAGGCAGAGTTCTCCAGTGTTTGTAAATGCTACCTTTTCATTTTTCTGATGGCTTTAGGTTAGCAGGTAGAGAGTATACATAGTTAAGTCTTTCCATGAAATATGGTTGCTGGTAGCAAAGTCCCTTTGTTAGTGCAGAGGTAAAGGAGGATTGCTACTGAATATACTCTTTATCTTGGAATGCTTGCAAACCTCAGGTAGGGAGAGGCTGACAACTAGCCTGATACTCTACAGTGGTTTCCAGGTTCATGATTAACAGTCTCTTTTTGGGATATCCATTATATTCAGTAAAGCAGAACTTTGGCCGTAACAGAAGCAGAGGGGACATAAGAAGAAAGTTGGTATTTTTAAAAGTGCTTATTATTACAAAACTTTAAAAATTTGCCTTAGTATTTCAAACAGGTCAGCAAAAGAAACAGTTGTAAAAGCACACTGTTTCAGATCTTAGCAATAAGCCTTCTTACTAATGGCCAAAATATGAGTAGAGCCTTACTGCTGTGCTTGCTCTGTAGAAACTTCATTGATTTGTGAAGTAAATTAGATTAATTTGGTTAGCAAAAATCTTGCCCCAGTTTTCCCCATTATTACAGAGATGCCTGTTTTAATGACTCAAGCAAGTGCGGTCAGGACAGTCATAGTTTCTTATGTGTATTGTAGAATTAGTGATTGTACCGAGCCTGTGACAAACTCTGCAGATTGCTTTTTTGGGTAAATCCTCATTTGTTTCTGTTTTCTCAAAAGTAGAGCACAAAATAGGGAAAACATTTGGATCTCGCAGTTTTTATAATCTGCTTTCACCATTCATCTGCTATCCAGTGCCTGGTGTTTACTAAGCCAGTGAGCATTCATGAATCTCTAATAGATTTTCAACAGTATGTATTTTATTAACACTACATTTCTATTTTTATTTTTAAATATAAGTTTATTTTAATCAGTAAACATATGGAAAGGGTACATGAATACTAGAAGTCGAAGTAGGATCATTGGACCTAGGATGAAATTATAGGTTTGTTATAGGTAGAGAAGAACAAATAAGCTGAGCCATTTCAAGTAGACCAGCTAAGATTTTACATGGTTTGAGAGATTTGAACAAGCTTGTACCAGAAGCCCAAGAAGACAGGCTGGGTCTGGGATCTGTGGAAATGAGTGAGAGGTAGTAGTAGAGACTTAAGTTGTTGGATAGTGGTTCTCTTTTCTGGTTGCATACAGGATTGAGATTACCTGGGGAGATGTGGGGGCAGGGATATGTATATTCGTATACACACCGACAGACACACATGTACATACTCCCAGGCCCCACTCCCAGAAAGTCGTTGTCATCTATTTTTTTTTAAAGGCCCCTAATGATTCTAATGTGTAACCAGGGTTGAGAAATGCTGGTCCAGGGGATTTAGAAGGGCAGGAATGTAGGCACAGAGATGTTAGCATCAGGTTTAGTTATAGGATCCCAAAACCTAGGGAGAGGGGAAGAGATGAATGGGATGGGCTAGGTTAGGGAGGAAAATGATGAAGCTCAAGGGTTCTCATAGGAAGGAAAAGTTAATTGACCCATAGCCAATAAAATACTGACTTTTAACTGTCCTTGTTTCTGTTTCTAGTGTTCGTTACTAGGAGCCAGCAGGTTTATATTGGCAGCATGTGCGCAAAAACAGCTCTGGTTCATTTGGTTTTGATTCAGATAGAAGCAGAGGGCTAGGCTTTCCAGGACAGTTGAAGTTTTGGTTTGGTTTTTTAACTTTTAAATGCCCATGTAACTTTCTGAGCCAAATGGGTTTTAGTTATTTTCCAGTTTGTCTGTATTTTTATATTTAATCATATTTTAAAGAAGTTGCAGTATTTACAAAGTATGTATTTTCTTAATTATGACATGCAAATATTCATGAAATTTGTATTAAATATGTATTTTCTGAAGGCATGTTTATTCTTAGTTGGTATAATTTAACTTGTATGAATTACTTGTTTCAGATTCACAATGACATCCTTTCAAGAAGTCCCATTGCAGACTTCCAACTTTGCCCATGTCATCTTTCAAAATGTGGCCAAGAGTTACCTTCCTAATGCACACCTGGAATGTCATTACACCTTAACTCCATATATTCATCCACATCCAAAAGATTGGGTTGGTATATTCAAGGTAAGAAAGCTTTCTGAATATGTTCTCCATGTAAACACTTTTAATTTTCTTTTAAAACAGATTGATAAGTAGCTTGTACTTGCCTTTTCTTAACTCTGCATTAAGTCTCATTTTTATAAACGTCACCATGAAATATTTAACAGTGGGGAGTAGATAAAATGAATGTTGGGAACTCCATTTCACCAGATTTTCCTCTCTCTGATCAAAAAGTTTACCTTCACTTAAGAACTTGTGAAAATTTTTTCAGAATCATCTTTTCCTATTTTCTCCGTTCATTACCTGAAAAAAAATGATCTTTTTCTTTGGGTTCTTATATTATTTACTGTATTTTCCAGTCATTTGGAATTAATTTTATACAGCTTGACAGGCATGTTATTATCCCTTCTACCATTGTCCTGCATGGCTTAAATATTGCTCAGATTGTATTACACAGTTTTAAGAGTATTCTGTTTGTATTACACAGTTTTAAAGTATTCTGTTTAACATGACTGAAGAGTAAACTCTTTGATGGCAGGAGTTCCAGTTCTTATGTTTTACAAGTGATTTTTTATAATACTTTCTTGAAAATAAAGGTGATCATTACAGTGGTACACCTCACTATGCAGGACGTTTTCTGGCAATTTTAACTCTTCAGAATGTAGTGGAAAACCAAAACATGAGAGTGTCCTCTGAGCAGTCAAAATAATGTCATGAATGTCCAAACAGTAAAACATATTCACTTTTCTCCTGTATTATTCTGTATTCTTCCTCAGAATCAGTTTGTTTTATTTTAGTTAGGACGTTTATGGGCTTGATATTTTGATTGTCTAATCTGTATAAAGTTAAACAACAAGGAAGAAAGAAATGAATAGCTGCTAGAAATTAGGCACATTGAAAGTGTCTAGAAGTAAAAGTCCAGCCTGATGGGAAGGCAGAAAAACATTTGGACAAAACAAAGTTTTGGCATTTAACGACTTTTAGTTCCTTTCTTTGAATTCCTCATTTCTTGATGTTTCTGAATACAACATAATAGTTATTTACTGTAGTTATTTACCGTTTACTTTTTGTGTCAGTTTTTTAGCTTGTCAGATCCCAAAATGGAGAAACATTCATTGTAACAATTTTATGAAATCAGTAGTAGTTTTTAAATTTTATTTCTTATTTTTTGAGACAGGGTCTTATTCTATCACTCAGGCTGGAGTGCGGTGGTGGGATAGTGGCTTACTGCAACCTGACCTCCTGGGCTCAAGTGATCCTTTCCCTGCAACCTTCCAAATAGCTGGGATTATAGGCACACCATGCCTGGCTAATTTTTAAATTTTTTTGTAGAGACAGGGTCTCATTATGTTGCCTAGGCTGGTTTTAACTTCCTAGGCTTAAGTGATCCTCCGTGTCCCAGCCTCCCAAAGTGCTGGGATTACAGGTGTGAGCCACCGCACCTGGCCTCAGTAGTAGTTTCGATTTTATGGGAGATACTGGTATCAAGTTAAAGATACTGATTGAGAACTGGTGTTTTCTGTAGTAACAGAGCAGAGTGGAAGAAAACAGAAATGTGATTGAGGAAAAAGAAGGGCATTTCCAGCAGGAAAATGGTATAGGTTAAACATCCTAAATCTGAAAATCTGAAATCTGAAATGCTTTGAAATCCAAAATTTTTTGAATGCTGACATGATGTGCTAAGAAAATGCTCATTGGAACATTTCATGTTTTGGATTTGGGATGCCCAACTAGTAAGTATAATGCAAATATTCCAAAATCTGGTGACAAATTTAGAAATCCAAAGCACTTCTGGTCTCAAGCATTTCGGATAAGGGATACTGAATCTGTATAAGCAGAGGCTCAGAGGTAGGAATGTTCATGAGAATGAGTAAGTCAGTTTACAGCATAAGCTTCAGTTAGGGAAGTTGTGGAAGATGAGATTGGAGATAAGTTTCATTCTGTCTATGAAAGACCTTCAGTGTTAGACAGTTCATAGACTTTTTTCTAAAGGGCAGTGAGAAGTCTTTGTATATGTATGGGTTGTTGGAAAATTATGTTTCAAGAAGATGAATTATTACCTTTTTCCTGCAGACTCCTTTTTTATTTCTTGTATTTTTTCATTTTTTTACAGCCAAAAGCCTGTGACTTTCCCTTCAAATCCAAACATCAGTTTTAACTATTTTATTACTTACATATTTCTAATTCTTAATATCACTGCTCTAGTTCATGCCTTCCGTATTTTTTACCAAGACTATTGCAATAGCTCACCTGTTTTACCCCACTTTCATTCTTGTCCTCTAACCTTTGTTTTTTAACTGCTCTATGTAAGTTGTAAAATGGAAACCTGAACATGTCTTTCTCTTGTTTGAAACTCTTCATTGGTTCTTCATCATCTATGGAATAATGCCAAGACCAAATAACCTAGAGCCATAGAGGGCTCCTGTATAAGATTTAATTTCCAGCTTCATTTTTGGTCATTCCTGCTGCTGCTTTTTTGCTTTGGTAATGCTGAACTATACTTCTTTCATTGTGCACTTTAAGGATTGTAAGTTTTCTCTCAGCAAAAAAGAAAAAAAATCTTCTGTTTAATACTATTTCCATCCTTTTTGCCAGGATAAAACTTTAAAACTCAATAGGAAGTTCAAGCATATAGTAGAAATTTCAGGTAATACAGGAAGGCTCAAGGAAGAAAATAATCATGCTTAACATTTTTACCTAGTGTTAACTGTTGTTAACATAATGGTATATAGCTACATGTAATAAAATTACAAATAATTATACACATGCATAATGTGTGTGTAATAAATATATACACACATACTACTGATGCATCATAGTGTGTGTATATATTCATTGAACCAGTTTCTTAATATTGGAATTTACACTGTTGCTAAATGCTTATCATTAATACATAATAAAGTATTAATGTCTACCTATCTTCATTTTGTCTACTTATTTCATAAGGTAAGTTCTTGGAAGTAGAATCACCATGTTTATGGCATTGTATGTTTTTAAGCACTTTATGTGTACAGCAAATTGCCCTCTAAAGTGATTTTGATAGATACTATATTGACAAGCAGGCAGGAAGAGAGTGCCTGGGTAGCAATTGTAAGGGAGGAGGAATGAAGATGGAAAAGTGGTATGCTTGAGAAAGTGTTAAGGAATTTGATTTACTTGGGATAGCTATCAATTAAAAATTTGTTATTATTTTTTTTTTTTAGAGACGGGGTTTTGCCATGTTGCCCAGGCTGGTCTCGAACTCCTGGGCTCAAGCGATCCACCTGCCTCAGCCTACATAAGTGCTGGGATTGATAAGTGCTGGGATTGTAGGCATGAACCACCGTGCCCAGCTGCAGATACCAATTTTAGAAGATGGATGGGAAAGGTTAGTTTGGATCATGTTGTAGATTGTTTTAATATTTGAGGGATAGTTTTTAAGTAAGGAGTAATAAAGTTTAGAAGTGAAGCTTAATCTTATAGTGCTGAGTATGATAAATTGGAATTTGAAGAGAATGGAGGTAAAGAGAACGTTCAGACTATCCTAATTTTCTATGTGAGATAGTGAAAGCCTAAACTGGAGAAGGAAGTAAGTTGTGTGTAATAATCCATAAATAGAATTCATAGGATATGTCAACAGTCAATTGAATTAGGACTGGCACTCATTCTATGGCATCTCAGTAAGGAGGAGCAAGGTCATGTGTTAAAAGTTGGGGAGGGCTTGAGTATAGATAATTGTCCTTGCTGCTGTGGAAGAATGTCACAGGGAATTGGAGTAGCTTAACCAGAAGATTACTAAGCAGCAATTTTATGACTTTCTCCAGAGAGATTCAGCATTTGGAATTGTGTCAAGAGTGCCAGAAATGGCTGTCATTCAAACTGGGTGTTGGAAAAGGGTGGGAATGGGAAGGGAAGAGGACGAAGGATACTATGGTGGTTTTGAGTATGTTATTGAAATGATTGACTGATAGTGAAGTCCAGGTTGGGTAGGGAAATGAGTGAAGCCAAACAAGGGATATAGACCGAGTTGGAGGTTTTTGTTCCTTTTAGTTTTTTTTACTCCCTCTGCAGTATTGATTGATTCGTTTTAATTATAATGAAAATAAACATATAACTTATGTTTATTATTTTATATGTTCACCTCTCATCTGAGCATTATACTCCCTATTTTACAGATGATGGAACTGAGGTCCAGAGATTAAAGTGACTTGTTCAAAGTTATCCATTACACATTGGAGCTGAGATTTGAACCTTATGTAAATTGGCATTCAATAATTATTCTCTGGCTGTTTGGTTGAGCTATCTGATTATTCAGAATTAACAACAGAGTTGCTAATAAGTTCAGCATGGATTTTCTTTAGTGACAGAATTGAAGTAAAATTTCAGGAAAAGATTTAGAACTGCACCTGATGCAGGCTGGGCACAGTGGCTCACGCCTGTAATCCCAGCCCTTTGGGACGCTGAAGCGGGCATATCACTTGAGGTCAGGAGTTTGAGAACAGCCTGGCCAAAATGGCAAAACCCTGACTCTACTAAAAATATAAAGATTAGCCAGGCATGGTGGTGCATGCTGGTAGTACCAGCTACTCAGGAGGCTGAGACATGAGTATCGCTTGAACCCAGGAGGTGGAGGTTGCAGTGAGCAGAGATTGCACTAGAGCACTCCAGCCTAGGTGACAGAGCGAGATTCTGTCTCAAATAAAAAAATAAAAAGAACTGCACCTGATGCCATATCTTTATTATTAAACCAACATTAATTGCAGTAAAACATTATATGTTACATTATATTTGAGTTTTGTTCTGTTTTGTGTTTATGAATTTGATTTGGTCTTAGTTGTATAAGTACATAAGCATGAGGAATTGGTGTATGTTTAGATTTATGCTTAGTACAAATTAAATTACCTTACAGTTAAAGACCCCCAGTGGATACCTGAAATTACAGATAGTACTGAACTCTGTTTACATTGTACTTTTCTGATACAGTCATACCTATGATAAAGCCTAATTTATAAATTAGGCACAGTAAGAGTTAACAACAATAACTAAAAATAGAACAATTATAACATGTAATTGTTATGTTACCTGATACCCGGCCTGCATCATTAGCAACTCTGTTGCTAATTTTGAATAATCAGATCTTTCACTTAACCAAACAGCCTGAGTAAAAGTTATGTGAATGTGGTTTCTCTCACTCTCAAAATATCTTATTGTACTATACTTACTTATTTTGGGGTCTTGGTTGACCTCAGGTAACTAAAACCACAGAAAGTGACACCTTAGATAAAGGATGACTACTGTAGTAACATTAAAAGTCCATTAGTTTTTGTTTTTTAAACTTTAGAGTCTTAGAATTCTCACATCTCCGAGATACTGTTCTAATTGGAATTCTCACATCTCCGAGATACTGTTCTAATTGGAATTCTCACATCTCCGAGATACTGTTCTAATTGGAATTCTCACATCTCCGAGATACTGTTATAGTTGAGGAAATTGGAAGTGCAGAGTGGTCATGTGATGTGTTCAAAGTCACATTGCTAATGCATGACGTACCCTGTGCTAGATAAACAAAACCTCCCTATAAGATACTGTTTTCACTGCATCCTGTTGCCAAGCACATCAAAAACTAAGTTGCCTGATTAGAAGGTGGATCTAAACTGTGATTTTATTCTTGAGTATCCTGTTTCAAGCTTTTGTTTCTTTGTTCCTTGTTTTTCCTTTTCCTTTTCAAATTTTTTTTCCTCCTCCTCCTGTTTTCTGCCTTGGTCTCCCCTTCGGTCCTGTCTCATTCCACTCATTTTCTGTTTAAAAAAAAAGTCCTCTGGTTAAAAAAAAAAATTATAATTATATTATAATATATAATATATACATATTTATAATTATAATTATTTATAATTATAAAATTAAAACGTCCTATAGTCCCACTACCAAAGTATATCCCTACCTAATATCAGTGGTTAGCAGTGTTAATGTTGTATTTCCTTCCAGCCTTGTTTTATTAATGGAAGGAGACTTTCAGTCTTTTTTGTTTTTGTTTTCGAGACGGACTCTTGCTCGCTCTGTCGCCCAGGCTGGCGTGCAGCGGCGCAATCTCGGCTCACTGCAACCTCCGCCTCCCGGGTTCACGCCATTCTCCTCTCTCAGCATCCCAAGTAGTTGGGACTACAGGCGACTGCCACCACGCTTGGCTAATTTTTTTTTTTTTTTTGTATTTTTAGTAGAGACGGGGTTTCACCGTATTAGCCGGGATGGTCTCGATATCCTGACCTTGTGATCCGCCCATCTCGGCCTCCCAAAGTGCTGGGGTTACAGGTGTGAGCCACCGCGCCCGTCCTCGGTCTTTTTTCTAATATATATATTTTGAATGTTGCTGGCATATCTCGTCTTTTCTAATGCCGTGATTTTTTCACTTAATCACTTACAGTTAGTTCTGTACCGTTTTATCTCGTTGAGGAATTTATACTGTTCATGATATTTCTCTCTTGAATCAATGTTGCATACTCCCTTTGTATATCTAGGCATTTTTGCAGTTATTTTTTTCCTAAAGGAACTTTTCTGGTAACATGATTTTTAGAAGCTACATTGTATACAAAAGAAGGAAAATGAATGCTCCTACCCATTGTACTCCTAGCTTCCCCAGTGATGTCTGTTGTTATACGTTTCTGGATTAGAAAAATTCATAGGCTCATTTTATATTTTTTTGTGGGCTTTTTTCCTCACTTAATTATATTTCTTGGGAATCCTCCTATATCCATATGTAATCAGCTCATTTATTTTCAGTGCCTTTCCTGCTCCAAGGCTTGTCTCCCTTTATTCATCTCCAAACATCAGCCCCTCTTCTCTGTTTCTTTCTTTCCAACTGGTCTCTCGTATGCTTTCCTCACCCTAATGTTTCTGTCTTTTCCTCAGTGTTTCTGCAGGATTTATTATCTTTATTTTTTCTAGGTAACTTTGATGTCATTCTGGTCTTCTGTATGTTCTTTCTCAGAATTTCCTTTATGATCAAAACTTACCCAGCGTGTTTTTCTGAAATGTTAATCCTATTTAAAAGGAATATATTGTGGCTTTCTCCCTTCTCTGTCATCCTTGTTTAATTTCCATTTTCTCATTGATTTTGCTGTTGCAGTAGTAACAAGAATGATGCCCACTGCTGTTGTAATTCTTCAAACTAAAGTATGTGACATGTTCATTGCTTTAGCTTCTTTCTTAACATACATACAGCCTCCAATGGTATGTGTGACTACAATGAACTGGTTAACTAGATTCAGGTATATCTCGTAGAAGCAATATATTTTGGCAGTTTTAGATAACTGGCTATTTTGTCCCATTGTCCGAAGTGTTGCCATGTTTTCCCTGCCATTTTTCAATATTTGAAAATTGCTGTTATCAAGTGTAAGTGTAATAATTTTCTTTTCGCTTGGTAATGGTGGACTAAAAGACAAGATTTCTTGCATTTCAGTGTATCCTGTAGCATTGAGAAGCAAGTTCTAGCCCGGTGACCAGGAAAATAAAACAGAGAATCAACCTTTGGTTTGGACACATTATGGTTTATTGACCCTTCTAATTAGATTTATTGTTATTGCAGTGGACTCCTACATAATTTCCTGATGTTCATCTTTTGTGTTCCTTCCAGTACTGTCCACTCTAACATACTTTCATGTGGGAGCTTGATATAAGATAGTTACATCCCAAAGGAGCCCATTCCCTGTGTCTTTCCAGGTTGAGAGACTTCTACATTTATTTTTTATGTATGCCTAACATGCCCCGCTCTAAGTGACTTAAGAACGATTTAGTTTTCCTTACTTAAAAGCAGTTTGAAGTGTAGTTCTGTATTTCTGACTTTTTGCTCAGGATTGTATCTCGCCCCCCAACTTCTTGGTAGGCTCAGTTCTCAGGCTGCTAAGAAGCACTTATGTGATAGGCGCTGTGCTAAATACTCTGCAGGGATGATCTCATTTAATACAGACACAACCTTTAGAGGCTGTTTTTGTTATCAGAGGAGAAAATAGAAATGAATAACTTGTCCAAAACCATACAGCTAGCAAATGATCTGTTCTGGTATTCTGACCTCACACTGTATGCTCTTAATTATTACAAAATACTACACCTATAATAACTACCATTCATGGAGTGTTTGCCATGGATTAGGCACTTCACGTGCTGCTTTTAGGTTCATTATCTTATTTAATTCTTCCAACAACTGTGAAAGGAAAAACTGGCTCAAACAGGTGAGGTAAATGACTTGTTCACTGATTCCTTAGGTTTCATATCTGTAAAGAGATGAATAGTGTCAAGTGTTTTTTACCTTGACACAGAACAGAATAAATTGTAAGATTTGTCCCAGCATGCAAATACACCAGAAACCAAATTTCATGAAACAGTTACCCTTAATGTACTCCAGTACTTTCTCTTCTATATAATTACAAAATAAATGCCAGTCATGAACCACTAAATTGGTTTTATCACTTCCTCCTGGGTTGTAACCTGTAGTTTCAAACATTCTTTTGGAGGCTAAAGGTGACTAAGGTTCGTCCAGCTTCAGCGTTCTGTTGTCTATAATCAGGCCAATCAGAATCCTAGGTATAATCTAACCTTTTGGCTGATGCATAAATTTTTGTAATATTACTAGCAAATGGATATCTAGTACCTGTTTTAAACATCTCCAGTTTTCAATATTTAGCATGGTATAGTCCATCTGGAAAATACGGATTGAGATATGTATATATTCATGTTGTAAGTAGAGAATGTGTTATTTGAGACATGGGTGATCTATCTGTGTATATATAAACATCTTGGTGCTAAAGGTCTTTTTACAAAATTTGCCAATTGGCTGCAGGCAAGACTTGCCAAAGATGAAGGATTAGTGAATTTAGTGGATTTAGGGGGAGGCAGATGTCTAAGTAAAACAAATAAAACATTTAAATTGGAGGTATAAATTAAGTTTTTTGAATTTTGATATATCTGAAAATTCTTCAGAGGTGAATTTGTAATGCATGTCTAATGTTTTAAATATTAATTTTCTTTAGTCTATAACTCTCTCAGTTGTTGGATCTACTAGACATTCAGTATGTGCCACCTTTGAATATAATACTCTGTGGTCAGTAAAAGAACAAGTATTTAAAAACTCGCTGTGTTTAGTGAAATTAAATTTTAATCAAAACAAGTTTTTATATTTGATCATATGGATAGATTATCCTTGAGAAATTGGAAGCAAATTCCTTTTTAATACAGTAGAAATTCTACTATTCAATTTATGTAGATTTTTATAGCATTAGGCTATGGTTTAATTTAAAAATAATTTGACATGCTTGTTAAAATACTCATGATTTGTAAACATATTAAATGTATATTTTAACTGTAAAATACAATTTAAAAATGCTGTATGAACCTAATAAACTATTTGCTTATAAACCTGCCTTTTTTGTTATTTCCCTTTAGGTTGGATGGAGTACTGCTCGTGATTATTACACGTTTTTATGGTCCCCTATGCCTGAACATTATGTGGAAGGATCAACAGTCAATTGTGTACTAGCATTCCAAGGTAAGGACTGAAAACTGCAGAACTCGATGAAACTAGATATCTTATTGCCGTTAGAGATGTTGTACTCCATTGTAATGATTTGTTCAGGTATGTCCAGGGTACCAAAGTTGAATTAATTTGTGTCTTTACTTAGCAAAAGCCCTAAGAATGTAACTATCTAGTGTAGGCCACATGATGTTTTATGTAGACATTTAAAAGTTATTGGTTGTTGTCTTAACTTTCACTGAAGAGTGGGTTTCTTTTTAGATATTAATTTTTGGGGATTTTTTTTCAAGTGAGAAAACAATACAATAGTGATAACAGATATTAGAATAATGTAACAAAAAAGAGGTCAGGAAATAGTCCAGATGAAAACCACAAAAATGATTAACAGAACTTGTAGTTATTTGAATTCTGTCATGTGTAAGTTCCTTTATTATAAAATGGATATAAAGTAATATAAAATTCATTTTTGTGTTAGCTTGGCATTATTTACAAAATTTAAAAAATACTCTTATTCAGGTAATTCTGACATATGCTACAATATGGATGAACACTGAGGATGTTATAAGTCAAATAAACCAATCACAAAAAGAAAAATACTGTATAATTCCACTATATGAGGTACTTAGAGTAGGGATAGACACAGAAAGTAGAATGGTGATCCGCAGGGCGTTCAGGTTCCCTCAAGGGAGGAATGGGGAGTTATTGTTTAATGGGGGTAGAGAGTTTCAGTTTTGAAAGATGAATTTTGGAGATAATGTTGGTTGCACAACAATATGAATGTGTTTAACATTGAGCTATACACTTTAAAATGCTTGAGATAGTAAATTTTATGTGTTTTTTTTTACCACAACTTAAAAACTTGAAAAAAAAATAACACTTATTCAGAGATCTATCAAAGAATTTGCTGCAGAGTAATTTTGTATTATAATTTTACTGACTTTAGGGTTGTATTAAAGTGAATTCTTACTCTCGTGTATGTCATAGATTTCTTTTGGTCTGGTGAAGTTTGTGGACTCTGTCTCAGAATAATATTTTAATGAATATAAAATAAGACAAAATTGCAAAGAAAACCAATTATATTGAAATAATTAAAATATCACAATAACAGATTTTTGATATATTCATACATGTGCTTCAAAATCTGTGTAACAAGATGTATTTTATTGGCAGATTTAATCACTGCCATGATTTCCAAGTAAGATAACATTGAGATACCTATAACAATTGTAATGTGGTATTAACATATAAGTAATTCCTGTTGGTGACAAAAATCACAAATACTGATAATCAAAGTACATGCTAAAATTTTAGTTAAATGTTGGTAAAAATAAAAATATTATGTTTTTACCATTAAAGTTGATGGATGACCTGAATTTTCTTTATCCTTTGACCCCAGGTTGAGCATTCTCTAAAACTGCCTCTCTGCTATTGAGAACTTTATTTGCCTTTGTGTTTAAAAAAAAAAATTCTAGGACTTTATTGCTCTTCCCTGGGACTGGCTATTAATAATTAAGACTTTTTCTTCTGGGTTTCTCATATCTTTAAGCAATGGGCTCTATTAAGAATGTTCTTATGTTAGCAGAAAGAAGTTTACATTTTATGAATCATTACTTAAAAAAAAATGTGCTCGGGATTATGAGATGAATGATTTAAAATAAAGTTTATTGTCTCACACATTTTCACATATTTTAATGCAATTTAAAAATCGTGTAAATCTTTTTTGTTTGAGCCGGAGTCACGCTGTGTCACCCAGGCTGGAGTGCAATGGTGTAATCTCAGCTCACTGCAATCTCCGCCTGCTGGGTTCAAGTGATTCTTGTGGCTCAGCCTCCTGAGTAGCTGGAACTACAGGTGCTCACCACCACGCTTGGCTAATTTTTGTATTTTTAATGGAGACGGGGTTTTGCCATGTTGGCCAGGCTGGTCTCAAACTCCTGACCTCAGGTGATCCACCTGCCTCGGCCTCCCAAAGTGCTGGGTTTACAGATGTGAGCCGCCATGGCTGGCCCTAAATCTTTAAAATGAAACCTCAAATCATTTCTCCCTTATCTGATCAGGTTTACCATCTTCAGAATGTTAAAAATTAAATTTGTTTTAACAAACTAAAAGAAAAACCTCTAAAAAACCAAACTATACTAAAATATTTATTTAATGAAAATACTTTGTTAGCATGCAAATGCTTACTTCAGAAAGGAACCAAAAAACAGTTTGAATTTGGGATAAACATTTCTAGTATTATTGATTTCTTTTTTTTATTTTTATTTTTTTGAGACGGAGTCTTTCTCTGTTGCCCAGGCTGGAGTGCAGTGGCACCATTTCAGCTCACTGCAAGCTCCGCCTCCCAGGTTCACGCCATTCTCCTGCCTCAGCCTCCCAAGTATCTGGGACTACAGGTGCCCGCCATCACGCCCAGCTAATTTTTTTGTATTTTTAGTAGAGATGGGGTTTCACCATGTTAGCCAGTATGGTCTCGATCTCCTGACCTTGTGATCCGCCCACCTTGGCCCCCCAAAGTGCTGGGATTACAGGCGTGAGCCACCACACCTGGCCAAAAAATTTTTATAGTGATCCCTCCCTTGAGTTTTAGTTTTTGTTATAGTTGCTAAGAGAGAGCATCAGCCTGTTTTAAGGGCAGCATAACTTGGAGCCTATGCACATAGCTTTGGTATAGTGATTTCCAAATTTAACTGTAATTTGTAATCACCTGAGTGCTTTAAGACATACAGAAATTTATGTCCCACCTCCAGATGTTGTGATTTAATAGGTCTGTGGTATGGCCTGGGTTTTAGAATTTTGGAAAGATCAACAGGTGATTCTGTTATGTTGAAGTTTGGGAACCAGTGGCATGGCAGACAGTTTTCAGCAAATAATTGTTAACATTATCTAATTGATTGGGAGGCCGAGACGGGCGGATCACGAGGTCAGGAGATCGAGACCATCCTGGCTAACACGGTGAAACCCCGTGTTAGTCTCTACTAAAAAATACAAAAAAACTAGCCGGGTGAGGTGGCGGGTGCCTGTAGTCCCAGCTACTCGGGAGGCTGAGGCAGGAGAATGGCGTAAACCCGGGAGGCGGAGCTTGCAGTGAGCCGAGATCCGGCCACTGCACTCCAGCCTGGGCGGCAGAGCGAGACTATGTCTCAAAAAAAAAAAAAAAAAAAAATTATCTAATTGATACGGTCTTATCTAAGTTAAAATGTCCTGTTTTTTATCAGGCAATATCTGACTTGGATTTTGGTGACATGTGCAGAGCAGCCTTCTAAAATAACTAGGCTCAGATTAATCAGCTTCAGATGGTTTAATTTAAAAAAATTAATAAACTTTTTTGGAGCAGTTTTAGGTTTACAGAAAAAATTGAATGAAAAGTAGTTCTCTTGCAATCCCTTACACTACCCTTCCCTGCTTTCCTTAATTTTAACATCTTGTGTGCTCCATTTGTTACAACTGATGGACCAATATTAATACACTATTATTGTCTGAGTTCATAGTTTACATCAGGGTTCACTGTGTGATGTAAATTCTGTTGATTTTGATGAATGTATGAAGACATATACCTACTGTTGCAGTATCATAAAGAACAATAACTTCACTCCCCTAAAAGTCTCCTGTGTCCCACCAACTCATCTCTCTTTCCCTCCTCGTAAAACCCTGGCAACCAGTGATGTTTTACTGTCCCCACAGTTTGCCGTAAAATGTCGTAGAGTTGGAATCATATGATATGTAGTCTTTTCAGATTGGCTTCTTTTACTTAGTAACATGTGGTTTAAATTCCCTCATGTCTTTTAGTGGTTTGAATAGCTCATTTCTTTTATTACTGATTAATATTCTATTGAATGGATGTATCATAGTTTATTAATCTATTGAAGGAGACCTTAGTTGCTTCCACGTTTGGCACTTACTAATAAAGCTACAATAAACACTCTTGTGCAAGTTTTTGTGTGGATGTAAGTTTTCATTTCATTGAGTAAATACCAGAGAATGTAATTAATTAATTGTATGATAGGTTCAGTTTTGTAGGAAACTGCGAAACTGTCTTCCAAAGTGGCTTGTACCATTTTACATTCCTCCCTGCAATGAATGATGAGAGTTCCTGTTGCTCCACATTTCAGCAGCATTTGATGTTTTGGATTTTGGTGGTCTGTTTGTTTAAAAACTTTTTTTCACTTTATTCTGAATTTTGCATATGTTTGGTCTAAACATTAATTGGCACTGTGAGTGCATGGAGCTTGCATATATAAAGATATTTCCTTATGTTCTGTGCCAGGAAACCAATATGCAGAGGATAAAACTTGTAGTGTAATATGGGCAATGATTTAGGTCCTCATAGATGTTTTTGGATAAGGAAATGTTATAAATTATATATGTAGTTTATCTTTTAAAATAGCTTTTTTTAGATAATAAAATTTAGGTGTGTATTGGAACCAGTTTTGTTACATTTAAAACTTCTTTCCTAACAGCTGTTGTTTTATTTTTAATCATTTTTATTGTGATTGGTTTCCTCTTAAAAAATAAGAGTGGTGACTCACACCTGTAATCTCAGCTATTTGGGAGGTTGAGGCAGGCAAATGGCTTGTGACCAGGAGTTAGAGACCAGTGTGGGCAACATAGCGAGACTCCATCTGTTGCAAAAAAAGTTATTTAATGTGTTATAGTGACTATTGCATTTGTTTATTAGGGACTTAGCAATAAGTTTAAAAGTGGTTAAAAGAGAGAGAGAGAGAAAAGCATCCAGTTTATTTCTGTTAATACTTCAAAAACATTTTTGGGCCAGATGTGGTGGCTCACGCTTGTAATGTTAGCATTTTATGAGGCCAAGGAGGATGGATTGCATGAGCCCAGGAATTTGAGACCAGCCTGGGCAACTTGGTGAAACCTCATCTCTACAAAAAATATCCCCCAAATTAGCCAGGCATGGTGGTGTGCACCTGTAGTCCCAGCTACTTGAGAGGCTGAGGTGGGGAGGATCACTTGAGCCCAGGAGGCTGGGGTTGCAGTGAGCCAAGATTGTACCACTTCACTCCAGACTGGGCGACAGAGACAGACCCTGTCTCAAAAATTCATGGGCACTAAGCATAAATGCAATATGTTTTACAAGTTTCTGAAAATTCAACAGTTCATTTTTATTTTGAGTTTTGAAATTCAGAAATAAAAGCATCTGCCTGCCTAGAACTTTTTTGTTGTGTAAGGAAGTCAGGGAAAGCTTAGTCATCAAATATTAGAGTTATAGAAGGACTTTCAAGCATAATGCAAATCACTTTGCTCATTTTGTGGATGAGTCATGAGAATCCTGGAATGCGAAACCCGAAACATCTAACAGTACCTAAACGTGATTGTTTTCCTAAATGAACCCTTATTTATTTATTATAATCTTGTTGAACACTAAAGGCACAGTCTGTAAAATTCGACTAGAAAATTTTGTTTTTACTTTTTCCGATTTTATTTTCATTATCTATCTGACAACAGTTTTTCCAGGCAGGTTTAAATTGCAGCTCTGAATAATTAGGTCTATCTCAAATGGTTTTGAACCATATTTTTTAGCAGTTTATTTTAGTGAAGTTTTTGTTTTTTAAAGAATCAGACCTTGAGGCCGGGCGCAGTGGATCACGCCTGTAATCCCAGCACTTTGGGAGGCGGAGGTGGGTGGATTACCTGAGGACGGGAATTTGAGACCAGTCTTGCCAACATTGTGAAACCCTGTCTCCACTAAAAATACAAAAGAATTAGCCAGTCGTCGTGGCTTGCGCCTATTAATTCCAGCTACTCGGGAGGCTGAGGTAGGGGAATTGCTTGAAGCAGGGAGGTGGAGGTTGCGGTGAGCCGAGATCAGGCCACTGCACTTCAGCTGGTGACAGAGCGAGACTCCGTCTCAAAAAAAAAAAGAGTCAGACCTTGAATACCTAGTTTGTAGAGTTTCTAATGTCTTGATGCCAGAGCTGATTAATTATGCTGTATATTTGTTTTCTAGTTAAGCTTTTAAGTAAGCCTAGTGGCTATTTGGAAGTTGGTATGAATTAGTAAGTTTTTAGTAGAGATTAGGAGGGTGGATTTTTAAAAACTTTAAAAATGTATATTGCCAGATACATGTCTGTGATATTTGCTTATTTAAACTTTGTATTTTGAAGTAATTTTAGATGTAAAGAAAACTTGCAAAAGTAGTTCACAGAATTTCTCTATGCCCTTTGCCCAGCTTCCTCTCATGTGAGCATCTTGCATGACCATGGTACATTTATTTAAGAAAACAGTAGTTTAATAGTGGTATAGTACTATTGACTAAAGTACAAGCCTTACTCAGATTTCACCAGTGCTTCCATTACTGTTCTTTTTCTGTTCTTAGATCCAGTCCCTAATCCCTCTTTGCATTTAGTTGTCATGTTGTCTTAGTCTCCTTGGTTTCTCCTTATCTTTCATAACCTTTACTTTCTTGTAAAGTACTGTTAGCATTTTGTGTTGTTGTTGTTTGTTTTGGTAGTAGCTTGTCTCTCATCTTGGTTTTGCTCATTGTTTTCTCATCATTAGATTGAAGTTATGCATTTTTGGGAAGAATGCCATAGAAATAGTACTGTACCTTTCTCAGTACATTTTATCAGGGAGTATGTGATGTCCATATATCTTATTACTGGTTATAATAATCTTGATTGCTTAAGATTGTGTCTTCTGGGTTTCTCCACTGTAAATAAAGTTATTTTTTTCCCCTTGTAATTAATGCATATTAAAAAGGGAGCTGCTTTGAGACTGTGGAAATATCTTGTTTCTCCTCATATTTTCAGCCACTAATTTTAGTATCCCTCCGTGCGTCTTGCCTACGATTATTGTGGTGTTTGTCTAATGAAGTTCATTACTTGTATATTTATTAGTTGATCATTATGTTAGAAAGAGTTGTCGTCTTCTCCATGGAATCATTAATTTCTTCTGTGAAATAAAGTCTAATACAGTATTTTTTTTTGTTACTTAATTGTTTCAGCTTTAGCCATTGGAGCTTTTCAAGTGGGCTCCTGTACTTTTTTTGACATGCTCCACCCCTCCTAATTTCTTTTTGTGGACTACTACTTCACTTTAAAGTGCCACAAGAATTTATCTTATGTGATATGTTGTCTGCCTCTCCTCTTTGTTTCTTTTTTTCTTTTCTTTTTTTTTTTTTTTGAGACGGAGTCTCACTGTGTCTCCCAGGCTGGAGTGCAGTGGCGTGATCTCGGCTCACTGCATCCTCTGCCTCCCATGTTCACGCCATTCTCCTGCCTCAGCCTCCTGAGTAGCTGGGACTACAGGCACCCACCACAACGTCCAACTAATTTTTTTGGATTTTTAGTAGAGATGGAGTTGCACTGTGTTAGCCCGGATGGTCTGGATCTCCTGACCTCGTGATCCGCTCGCCCCAGCCTCCCAAAGTGCTGGGATTACAGGAGGGAGCCGCCGTGCCCGGCCTGTCCTCTCTGTTTCTAAGGAGAACAGCCAGCTGTTTTTTAAAGAGTGAAATCAGGCGAAGTAGGTATAATAACTGAGGCTGAAAATTTCAAGGCATGAAAGAATAGCAGGCATAGTGATTATAGCTTTTGGGGTAGATATTAATAAGGTAAGATATTTATCTTTGTTTATTCGTTTCACAAGTATTGAATGTTTTCTTTTTACAAGTCATTGTGGGGAATTCTGAATTTTTTAATATGTATATGCACAAATATGTACACATATATGTGCCCTCAATGTGTGTGTGTGGTATCTACGGTGTTTTAGAGGTCTGATGTAGTTGTAAGGCATGTACATAGTAACTAGTAATGTTAGGTTTACTGTGGAGGTATGTAGTTTTTACACTTGATCTTAGCCAAAAAGGCTGAGAAGCGATAGGAGATGTTTATTTTTTAATGTAAAAAGTACTGTGTGAGCTTTGAGGGGGAGGCAAAGATTAATTTTAAGTTACAATAATCCAGCAAAATTTAAAATGGAATAACAAATTGAGGAAAGAAGGGGGCAAATATTGAACATATTATTCTAGATACTATAAATATATTATCTATTTGTTAATATTTTGGATCTCTGAGACAGATAGCCTTTTTTTTTTCTTTAATTTTTTTTTTTGAGGTGGAGTTTTGCTCTTGTTGCCCAGGCTAGAGTGCAGAGGCGCGATCTTGGCTCACTGCAACCTCTGCCTCCCAGGTTCAAGTGATTCTCCTACCTCAGTCACCGGGGTAACTAGAATTATAGGCATGCGCCACCACCCCTGGCTAATTTTGTATTTTTAGTAGAGTTGGGATTTCTCCATGTTGGTCAGGCTGGTCTCAAACTCCCAACCTCAGGTGATCCACCCGCCTCAGCTTCCCAAAGTGCTGGGATTACAGGCATGAGCCACCACCCCTGGTTTTTTTTTTTTTTTTTTTTTTTTTTTTTTTTAAATTTTTTTTTTTTTTTTTTAAAAACAGATTAAGAGCCTGTAGCTCAGGGAGGTTAAGTAAATAATAGTGGTAGAGCTGGAATTCTTAATAGAGCTGTGGGGTTTCAAAGCTTTTTTTTTTTTGAGACAGGGTCTCACTTTGTCGCCCAGACTTGAGTTCAGTGGCACCATCATGGGTCATTGCAGTCTTGACCTCCTGGGCTCAAGCGATCCTCTCACTTCAGCTTCCCTAGTAGCTGGGACTACAGGCACATGCCACCACACCTGGCTAATTTCTGTATTTTTTGTAGTGACAGGGTTTCACCATGTTGGCCAGGCTGGTCTCGAACTCCTGGCTCAAGTGATCTGTCCACCTTGGCCTCCCAAAATGCTGGGATTACAGGCATGAGCCACTGCACTGGGTTCTAAAGCTTATTTTTACCATACTGCACTAGCAGACCTCATCTTCTTTTCTGCCTTCATATAGTTCACATGTGCAGCATATTCCTTTAGTTAATATCTCTCATTTACATGTAATGAATGTCAAATTGGAGGGAAGATTTCTTTAAATGACATATTCCCATCCCCACTCCCAGTCCTTAGTAGATTTTTATATTGGTTCTTCCCTTGCTCCTCCTCCAGCCTGTTTCCCATTGTAAAGTATATACTTGCTTCTCCCAGATGAGTGGGTTTTGCCCTAGAAGATACAAGGGGAAAGGATATTTTGGGAATATAAGCTTAAACCTAAGAGAAGAAAAATTTTAACTTTGAGGAGGAAGGAAAAGTCTACTTTTGATAATTTGTGAAAGGAGGAAGGACATATCCCAGATACGTGCCAAGAACAGTGTGCGGAATGAGATACGGCAAGTATTGTTAAATTGAAATAACATGAATTTTATAATAGGGAGTTTAATAATTTTGTTTGTTAACTTCCTCTTAGGATATTACCTTCCAAATGATGATGGAGAATTTTATCAGTTCTGTTATGTTACCCATAAGGGTGAAATTCGTGGAGCAAGTACACCTTTCCAGTTTCGAGCTTCTTCTCCAGTTGAAGAGCTGCTTACTATGGAAGATGAAGGAAATTCTGACATGTTAGTGGTGACCACAAAAGCAGGCCTTCTTGAGGTTGGTGTTCACAGTGAGATAGTGATTCACTGATAACTTTAAGAACAGAGCTCATGTTGGTTGGCATTTTAAGAACTTTAAGGTTACGTGAGAGTTGCCACAAAGATCGAATGCTTTAACTTGACGCGGTGGCTCACACCTGTAATCCCAGCACTCTGGGAGGCCGAGGTGGGAGGATCACGAGGTCAGGAGATCGAGACCATCCGGGCTAACACGGTGAAACTCTGTCTCTACTAAAAATGCAAAAAATTAGCCAGGCGTTGTGGCGGGTGCCTGTATTCCAGCTACTCGGGAAGCTGAGGCAGGGTAATGGCCTGAACCCGGGAGGCAGAGGTTGCAGTGAGCTGAGATCGCGCCACTGCACTCGAGCCTGGGTGACAGAGTGAGACTCTGTCTCAAAAAAAAAAAAAAAAAAAAAAAAAAAAATCCAATGCTTTTTAACTAAAATAGAGTGTCTTTTTTGAAATGCTTAAAAAATCTTTCGGCCATAATTATGCTGTTGGTTCCACTGTGGCAGGGACTGTCCCTAGGGCCTGTCCTTATTTTGTGCATAGTAGATAGTGCAGTAAGTACCAATTGGGAGAGTTTAGGTCTAAAGCTTTCCTTACGTTCCTTTGCTTAACTTTTTGTGGTGGCGTAATCATTTCATTGTAGAATGTTACCAATTTGGGGATGAAGCTGCTTGGGACAATGGTATAAATCAGTAAATCTAACTGTAAGGATGTGAACTTGGTTTCACTACCATGAACATTCTCTTTCTAAAGTGTGGCAGTGAGGCAGGAGAGCTTCCCAGTCTCTTAATTTAGATTGAACATTTTTAGAATGATTCCTGTTGTTGTACTTCTGATGAAATGGATAAGCCTAGATTAACCATAATTTAAAAAGAAAATTTAAAAAGCTATTTACTATTTACTGCTTTTGTAAATATAATATTATGGAGTCATGATAATGGCTTCAATATAAATTTACTATGTAGATGGTCTAATAATGCCTTATGTATTAATTTTTAGTAGTCATTGACAGAGAAAATAGAGTGACATTCTTTTCTCATTTTAAGATCACATTTTTCAGTATCTTTATCCTATACCTAAAAAACTACAGTGCTATATTTGAGTTATTGTGATTAATTATATATAGTGCCCTCTATTATAATAGTAAGAAAAATAGCTTCTCAAATTGGTTCATTATACATTTTTGGCTAATTTATATTCATATTTCTTTTATTGCAGCCATTGCTTTTTTTTTTATAGTTGGATAGATTTTTTTAACATGTAAATATTTAATGCCTTTGATTTTACTTTTATTTACCTCAAAGAACTGAGACTGGAGCAAAAAGACAAGAGGTTACAGATATAATACTTTTATTAGACAGTCAAACTAGGTTAGGAGGAACCAATCATTTTTTATTGTGAATTCTTTCATATCTTTCCTTCCCCTTTCCAGAAATTCCTCTCTTATCTTAAAGAAATGTAACTTTTATAGGGTGACTAAAACATTTTGTGGTGCAACTGCCTGATGATCAAGGTTTTTAGCTTTGTATTTGAATGCCAGTCAAAGATGCTGAAACAAGCCCAGATCTTAAGAATGCAGTTAGTATTTATACTGTAGCTTTTTGAATACTTATTAGACCACCCTCATTTCAGGGCCTCCAACAGAAAAGTGATGAGCATTTTGGCATTCACATCTATCTTGTACTTTTTCTTCAAGTAGATTGAGACATACCACATTCTCTTTCACTCCTTCCTACTTTGCAAAGGGTACTTTATAAAGAAAACGAAAATTGCTGTTTCTTAAGTATTTCTAAGATTAAATTTTTTAAACCAATATTTTGATGAGTCTTTAAAATCCCCACATTCATTAAAGTTTTTATTTTATCTAAAACTACACAAAATTAGTACAAATGTGAGACATCTGGGGCCCTGTTGACATTAAAAGTGATTAATGAGACATAATTTTGCCATGTGTGGACCTTGATTATATCCTAGATTTAAAAAAAAATTGGGGGGATAGTGAGGGATATTTGACTATGGCCTATTGGGGAATATAAAATTATTCTTAATATTCTTAGCTATAATAATAGTGGTGGTTTAAAGCCACTGTTCTTGTTAGGTGATGCTTGCTCTGAAGTATTTAGGGGTGAAGTGTCTGCAATTTCATTTCAAATGGCTTAGAAGAAAAAAGGATACATAAGCTTAAGTATATAAAGAGATAAAATAAACATGGCAAGATATTAATAATTAGTGAATTTAGGTGATGGATGTTTGGATGATCATTGTAAAATTTTAACTATTTTGTATTCTTAACATATTTCAAAATACAAAATTGAGGCAAGAAATGAGACATATACATTCTTATCTAATTTGAATTCTTCTAAAATGTCTACTTAAGCTTTAGTGAACTCGAGAAAGTATATGTGAATTAAATAAATCACTGGAAAAGGTGATTCTTTTATAAAGTCTGTGTTGCGCTTTGTCAAGATATATCTTTATTTTTAAGCTGCCAGATAGTTTTGAGCCAGATTTAATGCCAAATTAATAATGATACTAACCTTTATGGGTAATATACTTGCCTGGTTCTAATTTTCTGTTGACTTTATTGAATGCCATTTATTGCAGTCTACTTCAAATCATTTTTAAAAAATAGATAAGATATTAAAAGAAATTCAATGATTGAATAAATAAACTTTTCCTGGCATTTTGGTTTGATTTGTTGGAACAGGTAGAAGAGTCATTCAGAAAGTTTGCAGCTATTCAACTTTGATAAGAGCCATTTTAGAATTTAATCAGTTTGATTTCATAATCCCATGACCCTGGAAAACCAATTTAGGGTATATGGAGGAAAAACATTTTACCAGTTAAATGTATAATGCCACCTTTGTTAAGTCTTCCCTCTGAGTCTTCATTCTTCCTGTAAGAGAAATATTAACTTTGTTTTACTATCTTATGACCATTAATTTAGTAATATTTTAGAATATTGAAGTTCATATTTTCCTGAACTATTGGCTGTTCCTGTAAGAATCAGGTATATTGTTAATATATTGTTATAGTCTGCATGTTTGTCCTAAAATTTGTATTTTTACTTATGAAGAGTGTTTTAATTTAGCCAAGTAGAGGCCATTTTATATATAGAACCTATAAATTTCTTGATGTCTTAAAGAATCAACACTTTCAATAGTAATTCCATAGATGAAGGCCATATATACCATATAAGTTTGTGATAGATTCAAAGATTTCCTATAGGTTTGCATTCCAGAAGAGGTACAACTTTTCCTCTCGGAGTATCTGATTATTACTGTGGATCAGAAAGCCCCGTAATTAACGGAAAAATTAATATGCCTTTTTTTTTTAGTTTTGATCTCAAAAATGATTAGCAGCCAACTTCATAATACAGTTCTCTCATTTTATATCTTCTTTTAATATTTTCTTCTTTGCTCAACCAAAAGAAGGTTTAAATTTATGATTGTTGAATTTTTCTAACTGAAGTCTAAGTAGGTAGAATGTAAAAGTTCTTTCTGTGAATGTCTTCACTATTTTTTTTGGAAATGGAAAACTAAATTTGTAATAACATATTTTAGGATTAAGCAAAGCTATTTAATTTGAAGTTTTTGCTTTATAGTTGAAAATTGAGAAAACCATGAAAGAAAAAGAAGAACTGTTAAAGTTAATTGCCGTTCTGGAAAAAGAAACAGCACAACTTCGAGAACAAGTTGGGAGAATGGAAAGAGAACTTAACCATGAGAAGGAAAGATGTGACCAACTGCAGGCGGAACAAAAGGTTAGTTGTGTCTTGTGTAACTGACTGAAGTTGATAGTGTATTGCCTGAAACCCACCTTTTTAAAGAGCTGAACCAATTAAGTAAGCAAAAACCAGGTATTGAGAAAAGTAGCCTTTTAGATAGACATTTATACAAGAACAGGTCAGTTCCTATTAACCTTCTGCCACAGCTGCTTTTATGTTTGTAAGATGGTTAAAATACTTTTAGACTTTTGGTACCAGGCTTGTTGAGGTAGTCCCTGACAACTATTTCCAGATGTTTTACATCTAATTGTGGAATACTTGATAGATTTTTTGTTCTTGTTTAGAAATACAATTAGAAATGATAAGCACTGAATAAAGGAAAAATAGAATACATAAATTAAAATTACTTTTCAAAAAAGTGTAATTTGGTGAAATAAGATGTAGTATTAGACAAAATTTTGAAATTTTTAATGGGAGAAATGTTATATTATCGTAAGAAACAAACTAGTTAAAATTGGCAGAATTTCTTGAGCTAAGAAAGAGAGAGACAGGTACAATGCAAGCAGAAAACATTGTGGCTTCATTGGTAATAGAAATAGACTTGTAAGAAGCCAAAAACAGTGAAAAAACAGTTATCTAGTCATTGAATTGTTTAATATTTTCACAAGAAAAGCAATTTGTTCTGATGAAACTTACACAGACTCTGATCATATATATTACAGTCTCACTTATAGTAGAGCTGGTGGGATGTACTTACGCCCATTGACAGTATTGAGCTGTTGTTTCCTGAGGATGGGGTCTGTTCTGTTATCCTTTTGTTCAACAAGGCCTCCAGCAATTGCTTAATAATTGCTAAATGAACTATTAGTCCTGTGATTCTCAAATATTTTTATACTCCAGTGGAGTGGTTATATATTGCACACCTGGCAGAGATGTTATACAAGTAAGTCTTAAATTCTGAAAAGATTTTCCTTGCTTTGTTCTATTTGTTTGAGGATTGCTCTTTTGAGTTAGAGGGTAAACATAATGTCAAGTACTGTGTACATTTACAAATCTCCTTATAAATGTCTGTGAAGTCTTCACTTCTGTCTTTTCTATCGTTAGTCTTTTTAGTTAAAAATATGCAAGTATTTCCCAGTTTTACTTTTAGTGTCCTGCAGCAGACTGTAGGACTGTAGGAGTAGGATTTTCCATTTGGTTAAGGAACTACTTTTTTCATTTGAACCTTTCAAGCAGGTATACCAAATATTAAAATATAGTGAAATCTCATAATACGTGCCCTCCATGACTATTAGAACATTCAGCTAATTTTTTTTTTTTTTTTTTTTTTTTACTCATTTGTTGTAATCTCTTGCTGCTTTGTGTAGTTATTACTCTCTTTTTCTCCATTCTTTACATATTTTTCTCATGATTTATACCTGGATTTGGCAGTTTTCCAAAGTATAATGTCAATCTTTTTTTTTTCCCACTGTATTACAAGCCAGAGGGATCAAGGTGAGATAGATAACTCATGAAAAAGGCCCATTTCACCATGTCCTAAGCCCATGAGATCAAGAATATCCTGAAATGTGGCCTTTGGGGTTTTAACTCTGATTACTTTGAAATCCAAGAAAAGAATGGATGATTGTGCGAATAGGAATGGCAGAATGATAGACCTTCATTTGTGTGAAATTACATATATATGCACACATCAGGCCATTTCTGTGGTTCATTTGAGTAGTAGCTGAAATTTAAACCGTCTCACATTCTCTGTCCTTTCCAGGTGATAAAGGGGTTAAGGACTACAGACAAGACTAAAGTGGTAGACTGAGGTCAGGGGATTAATGAAGCAAAACTTGTAGGAGATTGTGGCCTTGGTGCTCAGAAGAGGTCTTCAGCAGAAGTTTTTATGGCAACTCTTAAATCTTGATGACAGTCACTAATCTTGGAGGAGACCACTTCTCTGCTTCCATTCTTGCATTGGGGCATATTCTCTGGGAGGCACTTGAAAGTGATTTTTTAAATGATGCTCCATATTATAGAAAAGGTTGATAAAAGTACCTGGAATGGTACTTGATGCATGGGAGGTTCTCCCTAAATGTAAGTAGCTATTATTATTTTACTATTTTTCATAATATGAACCAGAGAATCATCAAGGAAGGACTAAAATATAAAGTGTCATCCGACAGGAGTGGAAATTCATAGCATTTCCCTCAGATTCTAAAAAGTATAATGCATATATACTGTAACCAAAAAAAACACTCTAAGTTATAAAACATATGTGGTGACAATTGTTTATTTCTGGGGATAAAACATGTTTGCCAGGGAGAGATAGTTCCTCTTTGTTCCTCTTTGTTACTAGTCAACGGACTTTTAGTTTTTTTATTTATTTTTTATTTTTTTATGAACTTGCTTCATATTCCAAAATTAGTCTCCTGCTGGGCTGCTACAGCTCCAGACTTTCAAACTGGTCTGGTTGGATGGCTTATAAAATCTGTGACATTTCTTGGTATTTGTTTTAAATCTGTTCCATGGTATGAATCCTATAGTAGTTCTAGAGTTCTTCTATTTGAGGTACTGAGTATATAAACTTGAATATCTGAAAGATTGTTCTGATGTATCATCTATAATTTCATTTAAAGTTTTATAATGGATACTCCATGTAATAAGCAGAGACCTTCATTTTCTTCATAATAGAAATTTATTGCATTTCGATTCTTTTATAAAATAATATGACTAGCTTATTACTTATTCCATACTTGACAAAAAATAAAAGTAAATTAAATGTCTGTAATTGTTTCTTAATAAAATTTTTCATCTTTTATCACATTGACTTTTATCACTCTAAAGTGCTCTAATAATTAAAACTAAATGAAATTCTGATAATTATAATTCTTTAACTCAGTGAATTAAAAGAATTGGATATGTTGGGATTATTACAACAGATTGGTTTAAATTATATGTTTGTTTTTAATGTTATTTTATGAAATTGGCTGCTTGAAGGAATAAACTAGGATTACAAAGTAGATTAAAACTAAAACAAGATAATGTTTATAAATTGAGAAACAATAAATTACATATTGTATTTCCCCTAGATTTTTGTGGTATCTACTTCGTTATTCATGTACATCCTAGATTTAAAAAGTAACTATTATTAAGGATAATTTTCCATTCATTTCTGGTTCAACTGTAAGGGAAGATTTCTCCCCTCCTCTCTTGAAAAAGGCTCATTAATAAAAATAACTCATATAACATCTAATAAAAGCCAGATAGTGATTTGAGTGCTTTACATATGTTAGCTAACTTCATCCTGTGAAGTAAGCAGTATCGTCTGCATTTTTCAGAAGTAGCCCAGAGAGGCTACTTACTTGTCCGTGATTGCACAGTTAGTAAGTGATAGAGGCTAGCAGTATGGCTTCATCAGTGCTTTTAACCACTACTCCATACTTCTGAGGGCCAAAGGTGTGAGCTGATCTAATTGATTATTTTTCAAAACAGCTTTATTGAGATGTCATTTGTATATCATAAAGTTCACCAGTTTATACAATTCAGTGGATTTTAATGTATTTACAAAATCATGCAACCATTACCATAGTCTAATTTTAGAACAAATTCATCCCCAAAAGAAAGCTTTTACTTACTTGTGGTTACTTTCCATTTACCTTCCAATTCCTTCCCCCAGTCCCAGACACCCACTAATTGAAATTTCTGTATCTATGGATTTGTGTATTTTGGACATTTCACATGAATGGAATTATATAATATGTGGCCTTTGTGACTGGTTTATTTCACTTAGCCTAATGTTTTCAGGGTTCATCCATGTTGTAATATATATTATTAATTCATTCCTTTTATTGCCAAATAATATATTGTACTGATGAGTATTTTTTAAAAACCCCATCTTTACATTTATCAAAGACTTCTGTGAAAATTAGCAGTTTGTGTGTTTCATTGTGTTCTCGTTTGTATTTTGGAGTGCTAGATACATATTGGAAATTGAAAGATTTAAAATTGAGGCTCAGAGAACCAATGATTTTGAATCTTGTTTTTCAAACAGGACTAAAAAGTGCTATGCCCCTATTAAGTTTTTCAGTTAGTTTAGTTTATAATTTTTTGGAGCCTAAGCTATGAATTGAGTTTTTTTCATATAATTGTATTTTCAACTTGAATAACAAAATGGATATGATGTACTTCAAGACATTTTTGAACTATATTATATTTGAGAATATTAAAGTAATATTGCCAAAACGATGTAATGGAGGCTGTTACAAACTGTTAAATGTACTCATACTGTTTTGATTCTTAAGTTTCACAAACTGGGTAGGAGACATCACCAGGTATTTGGGAAGTATCATAGGTATAGGAGTGAGACAATGTGCGAGATCTCTTCTCTGGCTAGTGTGGACCTCTTAAGCTATCTTTATCTTCTTGGCTTTTTCTTCTCTAAAATGTAAACATATTTCGCATTGTTTTAGAGTGACAGCATATACTCCAAAGAATAACTTGTCATCCCATAGAGTTTTCCTTTTTATTCTCATTGAAATTGCTTTCAAAAGGTGGTAACTTAGTTTTTCTGAGTTCAGGCTTCCTCATGGATAAGTCATCTAGTTAACAAGTGGCAAAGTTGAGAACCTGAAAAACCAAGATAGGTGTTTTTGTTGCTATATTACAATGGCTTATAATAACAGACACAAGTGTGGTATGTCTCTTTATTCATCGAGTGTTTGTGGAATAAATAGGTAACAATGAGTTTTGGGGCTTGTGGCATTCTGACCAGTTTTTATTGTAGTCAAAAGAAGGATCTGAAGGTGACATTTTACTTTGGATATGGGATTTTATGGTCTTGAAAAGGATTAAAAAAATATACTTAAAAACTATCATTCTTGGACAGTCCTGGTTTACTATATGTAAGCTATTTACAGTGTTTTCTTTTTATGCATCTTTAGTGTTTTTCTGTGGCCTTCCAGTTCTTTTAAGAAGTTTTAAAAAGAGCACTATTTTGCACTTTATCATTTTACAAATATTGTGGGTATTCTGGCATTTAAAGGGACGAAAAT